CACTATGAGAGCATAGTGCCCCCAACAGCAGGCATTAATACCCCCAACAGCAGGCATTAATATATAAATATAAATATTTACCTCCGCCAAGGAGGTAATGTAATCGGTCTCGTGTGTGTGTTCGTGTGTGTGTGTAGCCACTAGTGTTCGCGCGATCGATTCAGCAGCAGCTCGCCTTAGGGCGTCGAGTCAGCAGCGGCTCGCCTTAGGGCGTCCAGTCAGCAGCAGCCAGCAGCGAGCCAGCTGTTATACACATACATGTTACATGCTGGCGGAGGTATGCACTCTCCGTGAGTGCCCTCTGTCTAGTAATAACTTTTTTGGAACTTGCATCTAAAATAGTAATTTTTGCGGTTAAGATTTCTAAACCGCATTTAAACCGCGTTACTAGGGGGCGGGCGGTTGGACCGGTGTTGTACAGAGACATCGATCGACTTCTTTCTTGCAATGCTTACTTTCTGTATAGTGTCACCTGGCAGCTGAGACGCTCGGAATATTTCGCTGGCTTTCGTCCACGGAACTCTGCCGCTGTTATCCACATCACAGCTTGTAAACAGTTCGGCGTAAACTCGCTGCTCGTGCTCATTCAATTTCAGCGCCTCCATGCCTGCGACCAGTCCGAATAAAGCCCTAGGTATCTGAATATTATTTAACTATGAACCACAGCGTGTGCTTGTTTTTATGTTGAAACTACGAAGTGATATTCACGGTGACGAATTCCTCCCAGTTTTCACATGATGGTCGCCATATTTGACGATCTGTCGATCGGTCAGATCGGTCATTGTAAGAGATTTTTTACGATTTTATTTAGAGTTATATCTTAATATAGTTAAAAGAGTGTTGCTGTAAATTTTACAATAATATTTATTTTAAATATAAAAATTTTATGCAAGGCAAATTTAATTAGTGCAAATAACTGGCAATAAATATGTGTGTGAATTTGCGAGAGGAATTTGGCGGGGTTTTCTGCGCATGTGCCCATTGTGCAAGTACTGTGATACCGGCGAAATTTGACTTTAAAAGTTCCCGAAAATGACAGATAAAGAAGCAGGTAAACAATTCTGTCCTTCTGTATAGATAATACGATATATTTGAAAGCTTTGAGGACTCCATGAGACCATCATTCTATCCACAGCATCGTTCGTTAGTTAAGAATGGCGCCTTAGAAATTGACCCTTAGTTTGACGACCGGTAGGACTGGACAAAGGAAAAAATGCTGTAGGGGCCCCTATTCGCAGCTTGTCACGCGCCAAAATCCTATTTAATAACTACACCTAGAAGCTGCATGTTATTTAAGAACTTCTTATTCGCGTGCTAACTGTTGCATTTACCTCGCGATTGTACGTTTTTATGAGTTAAAACGCTAACGAGCGGGTATAAGGCGTAAAAACGGCTCCTCGCACACTAAAATGATACATGACCAAAGCCACTTGGCCGTTTCAATAATAAAATGATGGTAAATAAACACGAAATGTATTTACTACCAAAGTCCTAATGTTTATCTATTCTCGTCCACCTATTATTACTAAAAGTTTGCCATAAGTACCGTTTTATAGGCTCCCCTGCGAAACCAGGTACACAATTTCACCTTGATACAATAATGTACCGTAACCCAACAAGAGTAGGGTTACAATGCGAGCCTATTATTTTATTTGGAGGAGCCCCAGAGTGATTCACTCAGGGCGGTTTCTATCACAATACTCTGTATTAAACTATTATAACCTGTTACAAAATTTCGAAGTGACGAGCAGCGCTATTTCGAGCGCCATTTGTGTTGACCTGTGACGTATAGATTCCCAATGCGCATAGCGTTCGGCTCACCTAGGCCACCACCAAACGCTATGCGTATTTTTGTAACAAGTTCTATTAGTTTAATACTGAGTATTGTGATACATAGTAAGTCCCAGGATAGCGGAGAAAGGTTCGTGTTTAGAATAAACCCAGTTTAAAAGTTCTAGTCTCGAAAAACGCTCCATAAAACCCCCCCTGATTGAATCACTCGCTGGCTCCTCCAAAGAAAAGAATAGGCTCGCGTTGTAACCCTAATCTTGTTGGGTTACATTATTGTATCTAAATTTCACCATGCACACACCACTGCACAAATTCACGGAAAGATAAATTGGGTGGAAAAACTAAAGTGCCAAATTCGAAGTCGATAAACTGCTGCGAAGAAACTCCCACTCCCAGTCTGCACGAAAAACTTCCACCCTCATTGGCCCAGCGGGCCTGTAGAAATGTATAATTCACTGGCCCACACTAGGTTTTACAGGCTGAATCAATGATCATCATATTATGAAAAGAGAAACCGAACCGGAAGTTGTTGCGACTTCTAGCGGTGACAAACACGCATGGTGTTGACTAGTTACTTCCCCTACTTAAGATCGGGAATATGATGCCCTATCGGTAAATATCGGTAAATTTTTATACAAAATAGCGGGAATGTCGGTAAATTCTCAGACTGATCATCACATAAAGAAGCTGAAATATCATTAATATACCATTTACTCTATTTTTTTTCCACTGGCCTATCGGGCTTGTTCATTTACCAGTTTCATTGGCCCCCCGGAAAATTTACTTACTGGTATTAATATACTGGTATATTACTTACTGGTACTTAATACGGGTAATTTATTTAATGGCCTCGGATACCGGCCCAGTGGTTAATTTCGCAGACTGCACTCCACAGCAATGTAAATGGTCGAGAGTGTCATTTAATTATTCAAAACTACCCGTGCTACACGATTGTACGGTGAATGAACATGGTTGTGTGTGTGTGTGTGGGGCCGTTCATGTATAAATCTGGCTGGCTTGGACTGGAAGTGAGTTGGGGGGGGGGAGGCTGCTCGTCATAGAGCTTTAAAGCTAAGTGCGCTTGAACCTAAATGCAATGGGTCGCCATTTCTCATTTATAAACTCGCAGTTCTCATATTTACATTGCGCATACAGGGTTCGACACTAACCCACGTCCGACCGACCTAGTCGGGTAAATGCTTGGTCAGGTCGCATACAACCAGAGTGCTAGTAGCCCGACTGGTCGTGTTAGAATTGGTCATATATAATATTGCACTGAAAGTTCACCTCTGGTTCGCGGCCGCACTGTTTGTCGCAGAGCGTGTACATTGTCTAGCAGAGCGTAAGGCCGGATACCAGTCTACCCTTCGGCAAAAACAATAACGTGGCTTTCGGCCAGCCGCAGTAGACGATCGATAAACCGTGCGCTCGTGTATGCCCGTGGTAGAATACGAATGCTGCACGTGAACTCGGCCCACGCGCGATTTAAAGCGCGGGAAACAGCATCTATGAATTCATACGATGACACACTCTTATTTAAATAAAGTTTTCCCTAACAATGGTCTGGGTCTGGGCTAGTGCAAGTTAGGTCATGGCTAGTGGTTTTCCTCAGTTATTAGCCCAATGGGCTAGTGAAATAAAAAGTTAATGTTGAACCCTGGCATACTATATACTATACACACTATATTTCATTCGACAGTTTCGTTCGGTTGTTTTGTTTAAAACGTGACCTCGTTGGCAATGGATATATCTCTCTGTGCATATATCCGAGTTTCAACTATTTACATACAAGTACATCACAGTGTAGAGTATGCCTAGTAAACACAAAGCTAATACTTTTATTATTAATGGAATCAATTAAACAAAATTAAGGGCCTGTTTAGAATTTTGGATGGGCCTTTGGCTAATTGACATTTTGGCTAATTTGACATTTTGGCTAGTTGACTTTTTGGCTAATTTCATGCCCTGCATCATGATGATATTATAAATTTAGGCTAGTGAGGATGTGCTGTAAACATTTGTTTTAATAATTTGGCGTGCGATTATTAATTGTGATTAATTGCAGGCGGCTTCGACGATGCGGTGGAGGAGCGAGTGATTAACGAGGAGTACAAGATATGGAAGAAGAACACGCCGTTCCTCTACGACCTTGTAATGACCCACGCGCTCGAGTGGCCGAGTCTCACATCACAGTGGTTACCAGATGTCACCAGGTGTGTGCGTGTATGTTACCACAGCTACTTTTTACTCGGGCCACAATTAAAAAAAATCTTTGTTTGCCTTCACGCGACCCAGGCTGAAAAGTTTGGGTGGGCAGGTAGGCTTTTTTTTAAGGGGGGTCTTTTTACAAATTCAGCATGGTGTCTACATGCTCGGGTGTGCTTGTGTGGAGATACCTTTTATGTTGAATGTTTGTTTTGCTTGGTACATATAATGTATTGCCTACAAATTTATATAATGTACACTGATACAATTTGTAAAAAAAAAGAATGGGCAAGATCAATAAAAAAGTTTGAGTGCCGCTTTTTGGCGGGTCGGTCGAGTAACGGCAAACAAACAATATTATTGTTATTGCCCAAACCACAAATATTGCCATCGGTGCTGTTATGAAGCATGGCGATGCAATATCAGATTGTAGTTCAGCCGAGCGTGATTTTCTAGCGTTACTGCAGGGGTAGAATTTAACTTTTGAACAAGAGAGTCCGACGGACTCCCCAGGGTTTCTTAGGAGGGAAAATTAGACAAAGGAGGTAATAGCCAGTTTGGGGGAAAAATGCGCATGATGGATTCAAAGGCATGCCGTACCCCACGTCACATGACTCAATAAATGCACATGGCAATCTAAATATGCCAGAATAAGCATGTGGTGATCTATTTATTTTTGGGTTGACACTATTTTGACAACGGCGGGTAAATACAGGAACATTTTCACAACGGTGATCAATGTTAAATTTGACAACGGTGGTGCGCCACTGTGCCTCTTATGTATAAGAAACCCTGCTCCCTGCCATTAAAAAGAGGGAGTCTGAAGTTCAAAACTCCTTTCAAATTTTCTTTGGACATTTGCTGGAAAAATACGGTAATTCCGCGAGGCTGTGCTCTGGAACAAACTAGTTAGTATGTAGCAGAATTTTCAGGGAGCCACACGGACTCCTGCATAGGTCAAATCAGGGAGTCCAACATTAAATCGGGGAGTATTTGACTCCGGATTCACGTTAATTTGGCACCCTGTTACCGTACCTTTGCTTACCACACTTCCAACCTACATTGCAGGCCGGAGGGCAAGGACTACACAATTCACCGGCTCATACTCGGCACACACACCTCCGATGAGCAGAATCATCTAGTGATTGCTAGCGTGCAGCTGCCGAACGATGATGCTCAATTTGATGCATCGCACTATGACAGCGAGAAGGGAGGTATGTCAGCGCGCGAGTCCGGAGTCAAATACTCCCTGATTGATCCCTGAAAGTTCATTTCTACACCTGGGATGTGTACGAGGTGGTGTCAGTGTGTGGTAGTGAGATATAGTAGTAGCATGAACACTATGACAGTGAGAAGGGAGGGATGTGTACGAGGTGGTGTCAGTGTGTGGTGGTGCGGTACAGTAGTAGCATGAACACTATGACAGTGAGAAGGGAGGGATGTGTACGAGGTGGTGTCAGTGTGCGGTGGTGCGGTACAGTAGTAGCATGAACACTATGACAGTGAGAAGGGAGGGATGTGTACGAGGCGGTGTCAGTGTGCGGTGGTGCGGTACAGTAGTAGCATGAACACTATGACAGTGAGAAGGGAGGGATGTGTACGAGGTGGTGTCAGTGTGCGGTAGTGTGGTACAGTAGTAGCATGAACACTATGACAGTGAGAAGGGAGGGATGTGTACGAGGTGGTGTCAGTGTGTGGTAGTGAGATACAGTAGTAGCATGAACACTATGACAGTGAGAAGGGAGGATGTGTACGAGGCGGTGTCAGTGTGCGGTGGTGCGGTACAGTA